TAATAATTTAATATAATAACTAAAAACATATATAATATTAATGACATTATATTCAAATGATAAAACAAATAAAAATATTTGTAATATAATATTGGTAATTATTAATTACATTATAATAATTACACAAGAAGAACTAAATTAATACCTATTATTTTCAATTTAGATAAATTAAAATTTTAAGAATACAACATATAAAAATTTTAAATAAAATAAAATTTAAGTACAATATAATATTGGTAATTTTAAAAAAATCAACACTAGTAATTATAATTGTAAATAAATAATGAAATAGAAATATAAGTAAAAGTTAAAGAATATATAATACAAATTATAACAAAATAAAGGAAAAAGTTTATTAAATCATTACCTATAATCCATTTACTTGAAATTTTCTCCATTTCCTACAAAAGAAAAAGAAACCAAATAAGTATAAATATAAAAGAAAATAAAAAAATATTGAAATGAACATATATGTAAGATAAAATTTAAAATTCACCAAATTTGTATAATATGAAACCTACAAAAAAAGAAAAAAGAAAAAGAAGCTAATAAACAAAATATAAATAATAAAAATATACCAATATCAAAAACATTATAAAACTTTAAAAAAGTTTATAACATGTTGTGGAAGAAAAAAAAATGGAGAGTGGAATAAAAAAGATGGTAAAAGATAGAAAAATCAAAGGGAAAGAAAAGGTGAAGAATAGTAAGAAGTGTAGAGAAAGAAGAGAGGAGAGAGAGGGGGAGAGTAAGAAAAAAGGAAAAAGAATAAAAGGAGTAGAGAAAAAAGAAAGTAAATGAAAAAGAAGAGGAAGGAACAAAGTAAGAAAACCCAAAAATGGAGGAGATGAAGAAGAAAAAAGAAAGAGAAAAAGAAGATAAATCAGAAAAATGAGGAAAGGATTGAGAGGAAGCTTGTAATATATAGGTTCTATACGGACCGAAACCAGTCCGAATATAACAAATCAGTGCTAGATAATCGCCCAGCGGAGAGCTTCAATTTTTGTTAAAAATTTTGACGGTAGAAATTTATGAACCGAACTCGGTCCAAACATAAATAATTAAGCTCAGCACACACCAAAAAAGTTTAATTTTCAACAAAATTTTGGCGGCAACAATATACAGACTGAAATTGGTCCATACATTAATAATTAAGCGCCAACCTTGAAAAAAGTTTAATTTTCAATGAAATTTTCTTGGAGGCAAAACTTTACGGACCGAAATCAGTCTGTAAATAAACAAACGGAACCAGTAAAGAGTTTCTATTATCAATGGTGCAATTGGTTATATTCGGACCAAACCCGATCTGAATATATACTAAGCATCTAAGACAACATACTTTTTTATTCTTTTCATGTAAGTACATCACTACTCTCCTGTGCCTCGATTGTATTGCTATGAATGGCAATTCCCTGCAAATCGACACTACAATCCCTAGCAACCACGAAATCATTGGTTGTCCATCTAAAATTGTCTAACAATAGCATAGGATAATATTGTTGTAAAATTATAAAAGTATAAATGCACGGTTATTAGCTTTAAAGTTGAGTCTTGTGATTTCGAAGCCACAAATGCAGAGGCTTGAGATTAGTTAGCAAAGGTTAGCACCTTTGGCATGCAAGCATTTTAAATCTTGCTGTTCAAAACAAAAGCGAAATAAGGTAACACTTGAAAAAAACTATACACTAGCATATATATGGACCGATATCGGTCCGTATATTTAAATTCAGACCGGGTATGGTCCAAAAATATTCCTAGCATCTAGAAACTTCTCCTATTTCACTTTTTTAGATTGTGTTTGGTCCGAATATATTGCAAAAAATCTAGAAGCTTCTCCCAGTGCACTTTTTTATTCTTTTCATTTAAGAAAATCACTATCTTCTCGTGCTCCAATTCCATTGTTACGAAAACCAATTGCGTGTACATCGACACTATAGCCCCCTGCAACCTTAGAACCATCGATTGTCCACCTGAAATTATCTAATGATGATATGGGATGACATCGTTGCAAAACCATGAATGTATTAGTATAAAGTTATTAGATTCAAGGTTAGGTAATGTCCTTTCGTAGTCACAACCAACTAAAATTGATTTTTTTTTGCCAAGGTTAACCACTTTGCCACGCAAACATTTGAAATGTTATGATTTAAAACGAGAATAGAACAAATTGAGTACAAGATAAATAAAGAAATTAAAAAGCTATAGGTTGGTATATATTTGAACCAAAACCGGTCCGTATAAATATGTAAATGATATACGGACTGGTATCAGTCTGTATATATGTAAGGCTCGACCCTAAGCCGTAAACGCTCACATGTATATACAGACCGACAATGGTTTGTATACATCTTGATATAGATATACGGATTGATATTGGTCCGTATATATCTTCATTTCCTAATTTAATTCATCTTTATAATTAATTAAGAAATTATGAAAGTTAATTTGTTATACATTAATTATTATAATTTAATTTTATAA